CGGCACTAGGAAAGCCTTCATGAAGAAGTTCAGTGTTTTTGGATCGTCTCAGCGTGGCTCAGGAGCTGGCGGAAAACCAATCATGAAGGTGGTAGGACCAAGGCCAGGTTTTCCAGCTGTACTCCAAGCATCAAATACTGATAGCACCTGGGGTGAAGGGAGCAGTTCTCAGGCCCATGACAATGTTCATGTAGAGCAGAATCGCCCTATGGACCGGTTCGAGGCGGAGCGCTTGGAGAAGAGGAAGAAAGGCTTCTGCTATTGGTTCAGTAAGGGAAAAGATCGCTGCAAATTTGGTGAAGACTGCAAATTCATCCATTCAGAAGATGATGTGGTGCTGCATTCGTATTGGTGCAAATACTATGTGGCGGGGAGACCCTGCTTCGCTGGAAAGAAGTGTGCGTTCTCGCATGATGCAACTGGTGTGAGGTGCATTCAGTTTGCTCAGCCTGGGAAGTGTCGTTATGGTGACAGGTGTGTTTTTGAGCATGGTGATCCGCTGAATGAACAGAGGCCAAGGTCTCCAAGGACGCCCCCAAGGGATGGTCCAAGGAGAAGTTCTGGTGCAAAAGGTGGGGAAAAGGAGATCTCTCCTGAACAGTTCGATGATGGTGAGGAGTATTCCATGACTTATGACGATGACACCAAAATGGCGGAACTGTTGATGGAGGCGATTTCATTTCTGTCCAATGGCAAAACAGATTTGGCTCGAGCAGAGGCGGACCCACTGTTCAAACTCCTGAAGTTCAATGGAGATACTGACCAGATGGATAGAGAATGGGTTTCGTGGACCACCGATATGTTGTCCGTGCTGGAACTTCACGAAGTAGTGAAGTCGTATGAGGTTTCGCTCGAGGAGGTGGAAGAATGGGTCAATGACCTGAGGATATGGTTCGAGCGAGCCAACGTGGAAGAAGAAAAAGATCCCAAAAGGGGCAAGAAGAGGTCCCTAGAAAGGGAGTCCAGCAAGGATATTCCTGCCGAAAAGGAGGTGGTTGAGACTTCTGAGACGGAGGTTGCCGTTGAGGAGGAGGCAAAAAAGGTTAAAAAGAAGAGGAAAACTGCAGTTATCGAAGATCCTTACACTCTCCTGGTTCCAAAGCCGAAGAAGATGCCGGCGACCATTGAGAAGAGTGGATCATCATCCAATGCGGCGGTTTCTGCAGGGGAAAAAGCCTCGAAAATGCGCACAAAGTCAAACGTCGGTGGAAAGGCGAAGAAGAAGGAGAAAAGTCAGAGTCCCAAAAAGGGAGAAGTGGTGGTGGTGAAAGGTCCTGAGGAAAAGGATCGTCCTTCTGATGTGGATGCGCAAGCGTCTACAGCTGTGAGTGCAGAGCTGGGTCAATCTTGCCAAGCGATTGAGGACGCAAAGAGAGAAGGATTGGTATCCTCAATTCAAAGGTGCGTGCAGGATCCTGTTCTTGCAGTTTCGGACCTGGAGTATATTCTGCTACAACTTCACCTCAGTATTGCAAACCATCGGAAAAAGAAGTGACTGGATGGTATGGATGAAGGGATGGTTTTTCTCTTTCTGGAGACAGGTGCGCTGGATCGGCCAATGTGCTGAAAATGTGGTGGTTACTATTAAGGGTATGGAAATCCCTGATAGTAGAAGTTAGTAGTTTTTCACGTAGCGAAGACCACGGTTTGTGGTGAAGAAGGCCGAAGAGTCTTCAATGATAAGAGGATCAAGGTGGAAAAAAAGATTCTCTATGGTTAGTGGATTTAGCCAATGTGCTATAATTTCGTCCTGGTAGACGTAAAACCATATTGTGCATTTCAAGCAGCTGGCTGCTGCCCTAATGGCAGTTTTTGGCCAAAGATCTGCACCTCCAATGTGTCCTAGGAAATCCTAGGACAGGGGGAGTGCGGAGCTGCAACTGGTATTGTAGAAAAGAGTTAGTGTTGAGAGTTGGAAGGGTTAATGAACCCGGAAAACATGTTTGGCTCAAGATGGGCTTGAACAGAAAGCCACAAGTTCAAAAAGTAGTGCCTGGGTTCTTAGGGTTTGGTAAGGGTGTGGATTCCTTCCCCCTTTCCTTCCCCCCTGGGTTGCTCTTATCCGTGTTCTCGTTTGCTTCTTGGTTCGATCTGGGGAATATAGGTTCAGGGCGATTAGGGGAGTTGATTTCCTTCCTTGGTTGTCCCCCCGTACCCTAAACCCTAAAGCCTAAACCCTAAATTCTAAACCCTAAACCCTCTTCCCTTGGGGGGAGGTTGGGAAGACCGATCAGCCCGCAGAGCGCCGCGAGTGGCTTTCAGGGATTTCAGAGCCCTCCAGGACCCTACTCTGAATCCCCTAAACCCTAAACCCTAAACCCTAAACCCTAAACCCTAAACCCTAAATCCCACATGCAAAACCCTAAACGCTGAACCCTAAACCCTAACCCCTAAACCCTACACCCTAAACTTAAACCCCTGCACCCTAAAGTGGGCTGCTTTAGTATTCGGTTTGCGGGCGGGGGGCGGGGGGGTGGGGTTGACGAAGCCCCGCGCGACCAAGGGATCCGCAGGCGGCCTCTGCAGCGGTTGGGCCCCCAGAAGATGCCAGGTTTCGGGTGTTTAGGCTTCAGGGTCTGGGGTTTAGGGTTTTAGGGTTTAGGGTTTAGGGTTTAGGGTTTAGGGTTTAGGGTTTAGGGTTTAGGGTTTAGGGTTTAGGGTTCAGGGCTTGGTAGGCCAGTGGTACCCTTTTCCATTTTGTTGGTTCAAGGTTCCCTTCTAAAGTAGCCAACCAAGTAGTCGGGTGCCCTTACTTTAGTATGGTTACTGCGCTACCAAGAGGGTGTCGGTTTACGGTTTAGGGATTAAGGGTCTAGCGTCTAGGATTTGAGGGGCTCTAGTTTTTGGGGGGTTTGGAGGTTTGGCCGCCGTACGGAGTCCCCGAGTAGGCCCGTATTCCCTTTTTCTAGGGGTTTTTAGGTTCCCTTATAAGCCCCTTCTGAGCGTTAAACCAAGAAGAGCACCCGTTTTTTTATATCAAGACTTGGGTCTAGTAGGTCAGGCAAAGTTTTGCGGCCTCGGTTCAAGCTAGCGAGGGGTCTTGGGTTGTGAAAGATGTAGGGTGCGGGGTTTAGAGAGGGTTTAGGGTTTAGGGTTTAGGCTGGTTGACCATACCTACCAATCAAGAGGAAGCAACAGCAAGCGTCATGGTATAACTGGTAGTGGATGGCCAAGCTGCTTGCTGCTCAGTGGCAGGTAGTTCGACCCCTGAGTCCTAAGCCCTAAAACCCTGGTCGCCCTTGGAGCCCTTCTTCCGGCGAGGATGACGCCCTCGTGCTTGGCCACTCCATCGGCAACGTTGCAGGCACCGCGGCACTGGCTGAACAAGACTCGGGGTTCAAACAGGGCTTAGGGTTTCTTAAATTTACGCATTTGTGACTATTTACTATAAGTCATTGTTGTTTTTTCTTGTTTCTTTTTTGCGGGGCAGGTGGAGGAGGGTGTCTTGGGGGGGAAACAATGCAATGCGAACCCTCTTGTACCGTATGGGTACATTGTAGTTTCTGTTTCATGTGTTTCTCACACGCGGCCAGAATGCCATTTCTACAGGCATGAATAGTAGTGCTGCTTGCCAAGAACAGCTTTAACCAAGTCAAGTTAAGGGAAGCCTTGCTCAAAGTCTGTTCTAATCTCGTTTGATCGTATTGATGTGGTTGCGCCTTTTCGTGTTGCCATTTCTTGCTTTTGGGGGATGTCAGAGCTGCAAATAGGACATCTTCTCATGCACTCTGTATTCTGCTGAAACGAATTAGGGGCACTTTGTTCGGGTCCTTATTGCTTGGAGGTTCATGGTACTTATAACCCTAATTATAACTCTACTTATAAGCCCCCTAAGCAGCTTATAAGTAGACTTATAACTGCGGTTATAAGTACCCATGAACCTCCAAGTAGAAGGGAATAGGTGGTACATCATCCCCACGTACGGGTAGCCACAGGGCCCCCTTGCTGTGATCCCTTGCCTTTGTTAAAGGGTTCTGACGTACGGGCCCTTGGGCTTTGTGTCCAGGGTATACAACTTAGGGATTGTTGGTGCAGGGTTTTAGGGTTTTAGGGTTTGAGGGTTTTAGGGTTTTAGGGTTTTAGGGTTTTAGGGTTTTAGGGTTTTAGGGTTTTAGGGTTTTAGGGTTTTAGGGTCTTAGGGTCTTAGGGTTTTAGGGTTTTAGGGTTTTAGGGTTTTAGGGTTTTAGGGTTTTAGGGTTTTAGGGTGTTAGGGTTTTAGGGTTTTAGGGTTTTAGGGTTTTAGGGTTTTAGGGTTTTAGGGTTTTAGGGTTTTAGGGTTTTAGGGTTTTAGGGTTTTAGGGTTTTAGGGTTTTAGGGTTTTAGGGTTTTAGGGTTTTAGGGTTTAGGGAATAAGTTTTTTGGGTACTATCATTCCTAAGAAACAGCTAGAATCATAGTTTTTTGCTTGGGTTCCAAGATCCGTATAGACGAGGGACCCCCAATTAAAGGCCCACAGAATCTGTAGGTAAAGCTCCCAAGTTCTTTTTTGTTTACGATCAGTCTTCGCACCAGCTCCTCAAGTAAGGGCCCACACGTTTAGGGTTTGTAGGGTTTAGGGTATACTTGGAGGTTCTTTACTAACCAATTTGAACTGCACTTATAACCATATTAGGGCACTTAAGGGGCTTAGAAGTGGGTCACAAGTACAGTCATGGTTGGTGAATAAGTACCACTAACCTCCAAGCATAGGATTTAGGGTTAGGTTGCCCTTCTATGCTCCTAAAATGGCCCTTATTTTCCCTTACGGATCCTTAAAAAGGGACCCCCAAAACCCAAAGGTCCTCAAGGGTCCAAGGTAGAACCCCTTCTTGGAGGGTCGGGGGACTTAGTAAGTAGATAGTAAGTAGACTTATAAGTACCCTAAATGGGGACCCTACTTGGAGTTATCCTACTTATAACTCTATTTGAGAACTACTTCGTAAGTCCTCCGACCCTCCAAGTTGAGTTTAGGGCTTAGCAGGTCGATGCACCTCCACGCTGGAGATCGCCTTTCACCCGCCATGCCGATGACCCCAGCGGGGGGGGGGGGGGGGTTCGGCTGTGAGACCCGGGGTTTAGGGTTTAGGGTTTAGGGTTTAGGGTTGAGGGTTTAGGGTTCAGGGTTCAGGGTTCAGGGTTCAGCATTCAGGGTAAACTCTAAAAGCCCTAAGAATGAGCCCCAAAAACCTCGCAAACCCTATAAGCCCTGCAAACCCTTTAAGCCCTATAAACCCTACAAACCCTCTAAGCCCTACAAAGTGTCAGGCCTCAAGGAAGTCCAGAGTAGAAGCGTACGCGGTCCTCACAGCCATCTTACGTCTCCCGTTTCCGAAATTTCGGAAGGACGGACCGACAGGGTTAACATTAAGGTTCAGGGTGTAGAGTTAATGAAGGCTGAACCTCAAAGCTTCTAAGCTCTCATCTTCCAGAAACTCTAAACTGTAACGACCTCAAACCCCTGAACCAGGGAAAGCAAGTCCGATTGGAGCCATCCCGCCACAAGTGCAGATGAAGTGTGCGGCCTTGTCAGGTCGTGGGGAGTTCGTATATGAGGCCTGGGAGTTCTGGCGCAACTGAGTTTCGGGATTTGTGTGGGGGGTTTAGTTTTGTTATTATTACTTTTTTTTAATTTTTTTGAAAGGGGCTGGGCGGTACTGTAGGTGACTGGAGTTGAGAGGTTTAAGTCTTGGTAGTTAGGCTTCAGGGTGCATTTGGGCTTTATTAAAGGTTATTCAGGTACCCTGGTTGAGAGGTGTTGGCTTGAACGGCTCGTATAGGGTACAGCGTTTTCCGTTTAAGGGGTGTCTAGTTTGTTGCCGTCTTGTTCCGCTGAGGTTGATGAGGGCGGCATGTGAGCGTGGCCTAGGCACAAAATTCTTTGTCTACCTTCCCAAGGTGAGAGGACCAATCAAACAAGCGAGATCTTACATCCCTCAACCCTAAACCCCATTCCCTGAACCCTAAATCCTAAACTCTGAACCCTAGACCCTAAACACTGAACCCTAAACCCTGAACCCTAAACCCTAAACCCTGAACCCTGAACCCTAAACCCTGAACCCTGAACCCTAAACCCTGAACCCTAAACCCTAAACCCTGAACCCTAAACCCTAAACCCTAAACCCTGAACCCTGAACCCTTAACCCTAAACCCTAAACCCTAAACCCTGAACCCTAAACCCTAAACCCTAAACCCTAAACCCTAAACCCTAAACCCTAAACCCTAAACCCTAAACCCTAAACCCTAAACCCTAAACCCTAAACCCTAAACCCTAAACTCAATGCAGGTGTCCGTGACGCCTCAGGGGGAGGGCTCCGACGAGCCCAGCGGTCGAAGCGTGACCTTTACATTGGCCTCACTTGCTCTTTTTAGGTTGAGGGTTTAGGGTTTAGGGTTTAGGGTTTAGGGTTTAGGGTTTAGGGTTTAGGGTTTGGGTGTTGTCTACCCGTTTGGGGTTTAGAGGTTGGCCTTTGAGGCTCCAGGGTTACTAGGAGGGGTGGTCCATGAGCTTGGGGTTCATAGGGTCGGCTTTCGGGCTTGAGGCATGCTGAGAGGGATTAGGGTTTAGGGTTTAGGGTGTAGGGTTTAGGGTTTAGGGTTTAGGGTGCAGGGTTTCGGGTTTAGGGTGGAAGGGCTTTCGGAGGGAGCAGGGTACACGGTAGAGCCCCGATGAAGATGGTACAGAATGCCTGTCGTCCTAGGTAGCCCCAACATGGCGCCTCTACTTGGTTCATGGTACTAAGTAGCCAAATGAAACTGTGCGTATAACCCACTTAAAACCATGTTAGGGCACTTTCAGGAGCTTGTAAGTGGGCTATAAGTACAGTTATAACTGGGTTTCTGAATACCATGAACCTCCAAGTACTACCCCCCCCTCCACACTACCCCCCCTAGCTTCTCCCTTTCAAGAACCTTAAATAAGCTTAATCATTCGTAAATAGTATCACCCCGAGTATCCCCCTAAACCCTGAGCCCTGAACCCTAAACCCTAAACCCGAAACCCCCCACGCCAGTGTGCGCTGGTGCAATACCCCTACATACAGATTGCCGACCTGCGCACCGAGTGCGCGGCCCAGCGCGGGAGTTCGATCTGAGGGTCCTTGTTGAGGGTCTTAGCAGTTTAGGGTTTAGGGTTTAGGGTTTAGGGTTCAGGGTTTAGGGTTTAGGGTTAAGGGTTCAGGGTTTAGGGCTTAGGGCTTAGGGTCCTTGTTGAGGGTCTTAGCATGTGGGCCGGTTTTTTTTCGGGTTTGAGGGTTTTGGTGAAGGCGTTGAGAGCTTTGGCCTCTTGGGCTGAGAAAGGCTCAAGGTCAACTTTTCGTCTGCCACGCTCGGAGGCAAAGTATACCCTGTGGTCAGGTCGATCTTGCCATATCAACAGGCCCAAGACAAAAGACCTGAACGGCAAATCTCAGCCCTCTCAAACCCTGAGCCCCACGGATTAAACCCAACCAGTCGCCAACAAGCTCCAAACCTTCAACCTGAACCCCAATGCCCAAACCGGTTTGCGAAAATAGGGAACCCCTTGAGTGCCCCAAATAGTAGGATCTGCGTATAGTAAGGACCCCATAAACCCTGAACCCTAAACCCTTATAATAACGACCCCAGTAACGTGCCCCTAATTCAGGAATCCCCTCAACCCTATAATTCCGTAACCCCCAAATCCTAAACGGCACAGGTCTTCGACGTTGCAGCCGCAGTCGATGATGTGGACCCAGTTCCAGGTTTTCACCTCAGATTCGGCAAAGCTTCGTCACCAAACCCTCAACCCCAAGTCCTGAGACAGGGGCATGGGGTTTCGGGTTAAGGGTTTAGGGTTTAGGGAGTATAGCCTTTATCCTCGGGAAACGCTGTTGAAGGTCTAGGTTTAAGGCGTCTTCTTGCGCAGTGGCTGGAAATCCATGCGAGGATCGCGCCGCCTCACTCGTGGGGTCTGTGGCGATGCTGTGAAAGAAGCCCTTGAAGCTGTGCCAAACCATCGCCCGTCAGGGTTCAGGGTCTAGGGTTTTGACGGCTTTTCCCACCCCTAGCTTCAGAACTGAAGGGTTTAGGGTTTCGGGTTTCAGGTTTGGGGTCTAGGGTTTAGGGTTGAGGGGGTCCGGGGCGGTCACATCCACTGTTTTTGCTGAAGACGACCGCCCTGCTCCAGTTAAGTAGAAAGCTCGCGGGTTGCATTCGAAGGGTGCAGCCGATAGTAGCACCTCTCCATCTGGGGACGTAGGGTTCAGGGCCCTAAGCCCGAAACCCTGAACTCACTAAGCCCTAAACCCTAAACCCTAAACCCTAAACCCTAAACCCTAAACCTTGAGCCCCAACCCTACACCCCAAACCCCAAACCCACCCTCAATCTTCCAGAACGCCAAGGTGGACGGCATCAACGAGCTGTATCAAGGCGAAGTCGCGGATGTGGAGCGCAAGTTTCAGGCGCCGGGCCTTCGCACTGCCCTAAACCCTAAACCCTAAACCCTAAACCCTAAACCCTAAACCCCAAACCCTAAACCCTAAAAGCCCTATAAGCCCTATAACCCCTATAAACCGTAAACAAATCAACAAAAATACCCTGTAAACCCGAGAAGCCCCTATGAACCCCTGAAAACCCTATAAACCTTCCAAGCCGCTACAAACCCCCATAAAACCCTATAAACCCTAAAAACCCTATAAAACCCTATAAAACCCTGTGAACCCTGCGGGTGCTTGAGCTGAGGCTTGGGTTTTCGCTTTTGTTCCTCCTCCTTATCGCTACATGTTCTTAGCTGCTGAAAAAGTATGGTAGGCACCCTCTTGCCCCTCTTCTGGTTCTGGGTTCCCTAGTACTAGCAAAGTCACAGCAGCAGAAAAAAGGTGCCCTCAACATCTAATATGGATATACTGGGCTACCAAGAGCCTGGGCTGAACCCTTATCATTATTCTTATCATGACGATGATTATTCCTATTGTTATTATTCGTATTATTCTAGTTTATTGTTGTTATAGAGGAGGTCCCTAAGGGAGGGCAGTCTGCAGGCCGGGGGAGGGAGTGTTTCGAAAGCGTCAGAGATTTCTGGCACAATATACATTCCCCAGAGAGCCCAACACTTGAGCAATGTAGCTGCAGCAATGTACCTTGACTCCCATCTAGGGCCCCTACAAAGTTCCAGGTCGACTCCTTGATTAGGGGTACCGGACTTCCTGCGTCAACATTATTGTTTCCAACCGGTTTGCCTGGAGAAGAGACTGCGTGCCACAAGGCAGGAAACAACTGACCCAACGGTGGTACACTTGCACAATCTTTAGACGTGCTGTCCCGACAGCTCATTGCATTAAACCTCCAGCCTCCCTCAAGCTAAGATGGCTACGACTGCTCCCCGCACAGGCTGCCATCGGTATCGACGACAAGAAACGTTTGGTGAGGCCAGGGGCCAATGGAGCAACTGTCGTCCCAGAACCCTCAACTGGGTGTAGGGATCAAGACACCCTGCGCCCTAAACCCTGATACCCCTAAACCCTAAACCCTAAACCCTGATACCCCCCAAGACTTCCAGCAAGCCTAAGCTAGACACCCCGCTGAGGCAGCTGAAGCCGTTCCAGATGCTCTTCGGCACGGCTGCGGTGGAGTCTGGCCAGCTGCCAGCAATTTGGGGTTTAGGGTTTAGGGTTTAGGGTTTAGGGTTTAGGGTTTAGGGTTTAGGGTTTAGGGTTTAGGATGTAGGGCCTTAGGGCTTTCTCAGGGATTTTTGGGAATCTTTTTTAAAAAGAGTTTCGGGGGTACGGCAATTCCTAAGAAGCAGCAAAAAAGATATAATTTTTGCTAGGGGTCCAAGTTCAAAACAGCTTTAGGGTTTAGACTCTAGGGCTCAGAGTTTAGGATTTGGAGTTTTAGGGTTCTGAGTGTCAGAGGAAATCCCAACCTACCTGCCCTAAACCCTAAACCCTAAACCCTAAACCCTAAACCCGAAACCCTAAACCCTAAATCCGAAACCCTAAGCCCTAAACCCTAAACCGAAGCTCGACGCCCCAAAGAGGGAGACCTGCGATCTGCATCGGCAAGGTTTTCAAAAGGGTGTTGTCGGTTATAGCGTTCTTATGGGAGCAGGGGTTCAAGGGGGATATGAAGCAGGGTTCATATTACTCTTCTTGGTGAGTGTATATAAGGTTCCTTTTCAATATTGGTGAGTGTATAATATATATATATATATATATGTATTTGGCATCCTTTTGGGGGTACAAGAAACATATACCCTACTTCATATGTCACCCAAAGTTCCCTAATACTCCCATTACTCCTCAAGCCTCCCTAAGCTTCCCTGATGCTCCCTAGGTACCTACAATCCATGAACCCCATTTCTGAGGGACCCGTTGGGTATGCGAAGCCCTGATTTGGGGCTTTGGGGTGTTGAGAGTTATGGGGGGTTTGGGGATAAGGGGGGAAAGGATTTCGGGGATGAGGGTTAAGCGTCTTCGGTTTTAAGTTTTAAGGGTCCAAAAGGGTTGCTTTGCGTGCTTTCTTAGGGTGTTTGCAAGGTTCAGGTTCAAGGGACTAAACGAGGGACCCTTGTAAAGGACCTTAGCGGTTATTAAGGGTCGTTCAGGAGCTACTGAGGTATAGAAGGACTTTATAAGGCATGGTTGCGCCCGGCGGGCCCCCCCCCCCCCTGCGGGGTGGTTCTGGGTTGGTTTCAGGGTTTGAGGTTTTAGGGTTTGACGGTTTCAGGGTTTGGGGTTTAGGGTTTAGGATTTAGGGTTTTGGGTTTAGGGTTTAGGGTTTAGCGTGGGGTTAGGGTTTCCCTTGGGGGGGGGCGGGGGTTACCATGGGGGGGGGGGGGGGGCGCAGAACGCACAGCGCACAACCATATATAGATATGTAGGGGTTATACTCGGGGAATCGGATTCAGGGTCTCTTCTAGGGGTCCCTCCTTGTACCCCTAAACCCTAAACCCTAAACCCTAAACCCTAAACCCTAACCCTAAACCCTAAACCCTAAACCCTAAACCCTAAACCCTAAACCCTAAACCCTAAACCCTAAACCCTAAATCCTTGACAGGGATTTAGGGTTTCGCTCCGAGGGTCCCAGCTTCCTAGGCCCGACGGTCGTCTACTTGGCCTTGTCGAACCCGGGATACCTTCCGATCCGGCCCGGGCCGCGAGGGTTCAGGGTTTAGGGTTTAGGGTTTAGGGTTCAGGGTTCAGGGTTTAGGGTTTAGGGTTTAGGGTTTAGGGCTTGGGGAGTTACCAAGTAGGGTTCAGGGTTGCTTGGCGGATCAGGGAATTTGAGAAGTAGGCACAAAGTAGAGGTGTAAATGCCCTTCTTCATGGCGGCTAGCACCAGACATCGGATGGAGTCACAAGAGGGTTTCGGGTTTAGGGTTAGGGCCCCGGGTGAAGGGTTGATGTTGTGTTTGAGGTTCAGTTCTACGCCTCCCTCCCTTCTAAGCAGCTTGGGTACCCTTATAAACCCCATGTAGCGAAGGATGCCCCTTGTCATTCTTATGCCCAGCGGGGGCGAGGTTGGGGCTTCCGGGTGAACCTGAAGCTGTCTGGTGTCTTCGCCCTGACCACTACAGCCTACAACCCGAAACCCTATAACCGTAAAACCTACAACCCGAACCCTATAACCCGGCAATTGAATTATCCCGTTCCCTTGTATCGGCATAACCCTGCACCCAACAGCTCGACTAGAGACGTCCCGGACTGGAGCTTCTGAACCCAAAACCTTTTGACCTTATATAAACCCTGAAAACCCGAACAAAACTTGTACAATAGCCCTGAACCCTATAACCCTAATAATCCTAGACTACCTAAATCCTAAAGCCAATCAGCCCCACAGACCCGGAATTCCACCCCCAGCCCAGGAGACACCATGGGTTTAGGGTATGGGGTTTGAGGGGTTTAGAGCTTTGAAAGGTCTAAGGGTCCATGGTTTTACGGGGTTAAAAGGGGTGAAAGTTTAAAGGTTTAGGGTTGGAATATTCCCCCTTATGCTAACAGTCCTTCATAGGGATTATTGAGTACCCCCTACTATCATCCCTATTAAGGGCTGTTAGTATAAGGGGGAACATGACAAGTTTAGGGTTTAACTGCTAGGATGCCCAGTGGTGCCCTTAGGCTTAGGTTCCCTTCTAAGCCCCTCTAGGCAAAAACGGGTACCCTTTTTAATCCTGGGTTACTAACCCTAAACCCTAAACCCTAAACCCTAAACCCTAAACCCTAAACCCTAAACCCTAAACTACTCAGCATCCTAGACTGGTTTTAGTGTTTAGGTTTTGGAGCCCAGCGGGGCCCGACGCCAACGTCTTGAACATTCCATGCCACCATGCCTTGCCACAGCACGGGGTTACCCTGGACCCTATAAACCCTAACCCTAAACCCTAAACCCTAAACCCAAAACCCAAAACCCTAAACCCTAAACCCTAAACCCTAAACCCAAAACAGCCCGTGTTCTAAACCCTGGCTCCCCCACCTCCAGCTCCCTGAATACCTTGATGGGAGCCAGATCTTAGGGTTCAGGGGTTGGGGATTAGGATTTAGGGTTTAGGGTTTAGGGTTTAGGGTTTAGGGTTTAGGGTTTAGGGTTTAGGGTTTAGGATGACAGCTCAGTCATTGCGAAGGAAGCCCCCCAACCCCCAACCCCTTGAGACCCTGGAATCTGAAGTCCAAAGTTTTGTGGGGAAAGCTTGGGAGTGGATCATGCTTGCCGGCCGAGATTCTCCTTCCAGACGCCCGAGAACTTGAATCTGGAGAATGTCCCCTACTGGTGAGCCCTGGTTTTGGTCTTCCAGTTCACTGGGTAGGCTTGGGATGTCTTTGTATAAATCTTCCCTTTTTGGTTTAGGGGCCAATCCTGGTTCAGGGTTTAGGCTCTACAGTAGGGTTTTGGGTTTTGGGGTTTAGGGTTTAGGGTTTGGGGTTTAGGGTTTGGGGTTTAGGGTTTGGGGTTCAGGTGTTGTCGTTGCGCCCGGCCACCGGCCCGCGAAATGCTACTATAGGGCCCTAAACTAAACCCTACAACCCTAAACCCTAAATCCTAAACCCCCCGTGGCGATCCAGGAGCCCTAAGCAATGCGATTGGGGGTGATGCGTCCTAGCTGCCTCAAGGCCACGACTTCAAGCCTGGTTTCGGGTTTAGGGTTTGGGGGTTTTGGGGTTAAGGGTTTGGGGTTTAAGGTTTGGGGATTGGGGTTTAGGGTTTCGGGCTTGGGGTTTGGGGTTGAGGGTTTAGGGTTGAGGGTTTAGGGTTTGGGTTCCCTGAATCCCAAGTCCTGATCCCTCTCTCAGTTAGTTTCTGCAAGGTTCTCGCTCATGATATGGCCATGACGAGCAGCCTTGGGGTTACCTTTGCTTGGAGCTTGAGCTCTTAACTGGGGCTCTCAGTTGGTAGGTTTAGGGTTTAGGGTTTAGGGTTTAGGGTTTAGGGTTTAGGGTTTAGGGTTTAGGGTTTAGGGTTTAGGGTTTAGGGTTTAGGGTTTAGGGTTTCAACTCTGAACCCTCCCCAAGCTCAAGCAGGTGCGACGAGAAGGCCCTGGTGGACGAGCGCGAAGCTCACTTCAGCTGGGTTGGGAGACCCAGGAAGAGCCGCGAACAACCCTAAGCCCTAAACCCTAAACCCTTAACCCTAAACCCAAAACCCTCAACCCTCAACCCTCAACCCTCACCCTCAACCCTCAACCCTCAACCCTCAACCCTCAACCCTCAACCCTCAACCCTCAACCCTCAACCCTCAACCCTCAACCCTCAACCCTCAACCCTCAACCCTCAACCCGCAACCCTCAACCCTCAACCCTCAACCCTCAACCCTCAACCCTCAACCCTCAACCCTCAACCCTCAACCCTCAACCCTCAACCCTCAACCCTCAACCCTCAACCCTCAACCCTCAACCCTCAACCCTCAACCCTCAACCCCAAACCAAGAGTCAAGAGGCTTCGGGGGGCTGCTCAACGACAAAGCGGCGCGAGTGATTGGGTTGTTTAGCTGAGTTCCCAAGCCCCACGAGGCTTGTACTGGAATGCTTGGAGTTAAGTGGCTAAAAGTGCCCTGAGCTTTAAACCCTAAACTCTAAACTCCAAACTCCAAACCCTAAACCCTAAACCCTAAAGCCTAAACCCTAAACCCTAAACCCTAAACCCTAAACCCTAAACCCTAAACCCTAAACCCTAAACCCTAAACCCTAAACCCTAAACCTCGAGCCCTAGACCCTGAGCCCTACGGCCAGGTGGAGGAGCACGGCGTCTACGACATCCAGCCCAGAAGCGGCTCCATCCCGCCTGGCGACTTCCTACATGCCAGGGGGCTCTGAGGGTTTAGGGGTTTAGGGTGTGTAGGGTCTAGGGTTTAGGGTTTAGGGCGACTTCCTACATGCCAGGGGCTCTGAGGGTTTAGGTTTTAGGGTTTTAGAGGTTTAGGCTTTTAGGGGTTTGGGGGTGGGTTTAGGGGCTTAGGGGTTTAGGGGTTTAGGGGGTTTAGGGGTTTAGGGGTTTAGGGGTTTCGAGGTTTCGGGGTTTCGGGGTTTAGGGGCTCTGAGGGTTTCAGGTTTAGGGTTCCGGGCTTAGGGGTTTTGGCTTTTGTAAGGGTAATTTCCTGGGCCCTTCATGTGCTTAAGAGCCCCCTCAAAAAAACAGGTAATCATCCCTATATTTGCTTATATGGAAGACCTTTTTTTTTTTGGGGGGGGGGGGGGTTCTTAAGCTAATAGTAGTAACGTGGTCCCTTCCCTTCTTTAAAGGGTTCTGAAGTATGAGCCCCTGGGGTTTCATAGGATATAAAACGGGTATATAAGGAAACCCTAAACCCTAAACCCGACACCCTAAACCCTAAACCCAAGGGCCATGAAGGGACCATGTAACTACCCTGAGGCCTTTGGGCTTCAAAGGTTATCAAAGGCTCCGGTCGAGGACACCCTAAAACATATGCCCGAACCCTGACCAGATTCCGTGAAAATCACTAAGCCCTCAGCCCTAAACCCTAAACCCTAAACCCTAAACCCTAAACCCGAAACCCTAAATCGCAGGCTCCAAGCCCAAGCTGCAGCTGTCTTGGGGTTTCGGGTTTCGGGCTTGGGGCCTTGGCCTGCACCTTGTGTAGTAGGCAAGAGAAGCCTATCACGATGAACTCCGAGGTCTCGTGGTTGGTGATTGGGCCCTAAACCCTAAACCCTAAACCCTAAACCCTAAACCCTAAACCCGAAACCCCAAACAAGATGGTTTTGACATGACGACTAGGAGGTTGATGGTCAACAGACATTTGCAAGAGATTGTAGCAGCCCCAGGGATTTCTGGAGGAGGCCATTAGTTGCCTTTTAAACTGTAAACCCCTAAACCCCTGAAACCTTTACATACCCTAAAGCCCTTAAACCCCAAAACCTCTAAACCTCTACACCCCTAAACCCCTAAGCCCCTAAATCCCTAAACCTCTACACCCCAAAACCCCTGAACCCTAAACCCTAAACCCTAGACCCTAGACCCTAGACCCTAAACCCTAAACCACCCCACCCCGGCCTAGGTCAAGTTCACGTACCACCACCATAGCATCGGGACGCACATCCTGCCTGTGGTGTTCAATGCTCCTGGGACGTTTAGGGTTTAGGGTTTGGGGTTTAGGGTTTGGGGTTTAGGGATTCTTGGGAATTAGAATCCCTGAAAGCTAGTTAGGGTGCCTATAGAATCCCTTCAAGCGTTGCAACCGACCTATAACGCCCTCATTTCCCACTAAGAACTAGCCAGTTTTTTAAGGTTTGTATTGAGAATTTGGCGTTTTTGTTTAGGGTTTAGGGTCTTGGGCTTCGAGGTCTCTTTAGCTCGTGGTCCTTTCGTCGGGGGCCTTTTTGAGCAAGTTGGCCCAGTTGCAGGCAAGAGATTGCGAATCTCGACAACGATCTGTCCAAACCCAGCTTGGAAAGAGCTTGAAGCCTAAACCCTCAACCCTCAACCCTAATTCCTAAATCCTAAACCCTCAACCCTAAGCCCTAAACCCTAAACCCTAAACCCTCAACCCTCAACCCTCAACCCTCAACCCTAAACCCTAAACCCTAAACCCTAAACCCTAAACCCTAAACCCTAAACCCTAAACCCTAAACCCTAAACCCTAAACCCTAACCCATTGGCCCTTTGCGGTTGCACAGAATGCGCGTCCCATCTCTGGGTCCAACTCCACGCCCCCCAAAGAAGCCCCCCAAACCCCCTCAACAGAAGCCCCCAAACCCCCCCAAAGCCCCTCAAAACCCTCAAGCCCTAAACCCCCTGTCTTCGAAGTCCTTCAAGGAAGATCCGTGCCTAAGCCAGCCCTAGACACTAAACACGAAACCATGAAACGTTTAGGGGCGGATGGGGAGAATTCACCTCGAGTGGAGTGTTGCTTGCGGGGGGGGGGGGGGGGGAGGAGGTGCTAACCGACCTCGAAGACGTAGACCCAAATGACCAAACAAGTCCCTGTTAAACCGCCCCAAAACGGGCAACCTTTCTTGATTCCTGGGCTGCTGTATAGGGTTTAGGCTTGGTTTAGGGTTTAGGGTTTGGGGTTTAGGCTTTAGGCTTTAGGCTTTAGGGTTTAGGGCTCAAAACCGCAGCTTTCTGAGGTGCTTGATGGACGGTCCGTGCTGCTGTACCTGAAGGGGCACAGCGTGGCTCCAAGCGCAACCCTGGCATGTTGAGCTCCTCTCAGTGTTTCGACTTCTGGGGTTTAGGGTTTAGGGTTTAGGGTTTAGGGTTTAGAGTTTAGGGTTGAGGGTTTAGGGTTTAGGGTTAGTGGCTAGTGGTCAAGGGTTTAGGCTTGGAGGGTTCAAGGGTTTAAGATCAACAATAGGGGTGTACAAGGGTTCCCCAATGAAGGGCCCATGTTTTTTTAAGGGATCATGTAACCACCCTAAAATATAGGATTCCTTTGTCATTACAGCCAAGACAGGGGTCACAAATCTTCAGTTCACAGGGACTGAAGGTTTGGAATTTCGTTTGGGTTCTGGGGCTTAGGAGTTAGGGTTTGGGTTGTTGCATGGCCCCTTGGTTTTTCTGGTCCTTTTTACCTATCCCAAGCCTTGGTTTGAATGATATAAAGGACCACCCTAAGATTAGGCTTCATCCGGGCCTACTTTAGGTGCATCGGGGTTCTGTACGTTGCAGAGAGGGAGGCTGGTCAAGGGGTAGTAGGATGAAGGTTCCCTGCTAGGAATCCTTCAGGCCCCCCCCCGCCCGCCCCCTTCGGCCGCATTTCGTGTTTCGGGCTCTGGGGCTCAGGGTCAATTCGGTTTAGGGTTTAGGGTTTAGGGTTTAGGGTTTAGGGTTGAGGGTATAGGGTTTTGGGTTTAGGGTTTAGGTTTGGGTTCAGGGATGAGTTATGACGATTTAGGGTTTCGGTTTTTTTTGTTATCGTGGTTTAGGGTCTAGGGTTGATTCGTCATGAAGTGTAGTGGTTGTTGGGGTTCAGGGCTGAGGGTTTGCTACGCTATGACGGTTTAGAGTGGCGGGGTTTAGGGCCTTGGGGTTTGGGGTTTATAAGTTGGGCTTGGGGCTTCAGTCCGTTCCAAGGCCCTGGGCCCTAAACCCTAAACCCTAAACCCTAAACCCCAAAATCTCTGCCAGGTGGGGTGCCTCTCCGTGCGCTCGTCGGTCGTTTCGCTGCAGCCCGTTCCCTTAGGCGCGCTCGTCGATTGACAGTGGTGCTGTGTAGATCCATTCAGTCCCTCCCCCGCCCGCCAAAACCCGTGCTGTTTCAAACCCTAACTTCTGGTGCTCTAAACCCTAAACCCTGAACCCTACTTGAACCCTAAAT